AGAGACAGAGACAGAGACAGAGGCAGAGACAGAGACAGAGACAGAGACAGAGACAGAGACAGAGACAGAGACAGAGACAGAGACAGAGACAGAGACAGAGGCAGAGACAGAGACAGAGGCAGAGACAGAGGCAGAGACAGAGACAGAGACAGAGACAGAGGACAGAGACAGAGACAGAGACAGAGACAGAGACAGAGACAGAGGCAGAGACAGAGACAGAGACAGAGACAGAGGCAGAGACAGAGACAGAGACAGAGACAGAGACAGAGACAGAGACAGAGACAGAGACAGAGGCAGAGACAGAGACAGAGACAGAGACAGAGACAGAGGCAGAGACAGAGACAGAGGCAGAGACAGAGACAGAGACAGAGACAGAGACAGAGACAGAGGCAGAGACAGAGACAGAGACAGAGGCAGAGACAGAGACAGAGACAGAGACAGAGACAGAGGCAGAGACAGAGACAGAGGACAGAGACAGAGACAGAGACAGAGACAGAGACAGAGACAGAGGCAGAGACAGAGACAGAGACAGAGGCAGAGACAGAGACAGAGGCAGAGACAGAGACAGAGACAGAGACAGAGACAGAGACAGAGACAGAGACAGAGACAGAGGCAGAGACAGAGACAGAGGCAGAGACAGAGGCAGAGACAGAGACAGAGACAGAGACAGAGACAGAGACAGAGGCAGAGACAGAGACAGAGACAGAGACAGAGGCAGAGACAGAGACAGAGACAGAGACAGAGGCAGAGACAGAGACAGAGACAGAGACAGAGACAGAGGCAGAGACAGAGACAGAGACAGAGGCAGAGACAGAGACAGAGACAGAGGCAGAGACAGAGACAGAGACAGAGACAGAGGCAGAGACAGAGACAGAGACAGAGACAGAGGCAGAGACAGAGACAGAGACAGAGGCAGAGACAGAGACAGAGACAGAGACAGAGGCAGAGACAGAGACAGAGGCAGAGACAGAGACAGAGACAGAGACAGAGACAGAGGCAGAGACAGAGACAGAGGACAGAGACAGAGACAGAGACAGAGGCAGAGACAGAGACAGAGACAGAGACAGAGACAGAGGCAGAGACAGAGACAGAGACAGAGGCAGAGACAGAGACAGAGACAGAGACAGAGACAGAGGCAGAGACAGAGACAGAGGCAGAGACAGAGACAGAGACAGAGACAGAGACAGAGACAGAGACAGAGGCAGAGACAGAGACAGAGACAGAGACAGAGACAGAGACAGAGACAGAGACAGAGACAGAGGCAGAGACAGAGACAGAGACAGAGGCAGAGACAGAGACAGAGACAGAGACAGAGGCAGAGGCAGAGACAGAGACAGAGGCAGAGACAGAGACAGAGGCAGAGACAGAGACAGAGGCAGAGACAGAGACAGAGACAGAGACAGAGACAGAGACAGAGACAGAGACAGAGACAGAGACAGAGACAGAGACAGAGGCAGAGGCAGAGACAGAGACAGAGACAGAGACAGAGACAGAGACAGAGGACAGAGACAGAGACAGAGACAGAGGCAGAGACAGAGACAGAGACAGAGACAGAGACAGAGGCAGAGACAGAGACAGAGGACAGAGACAGAGACAGAGGCAGAGACAGAGACAGAGACAGAGGCAGAGACAGAGACAGAGACAGAGACAGAGACAGAGGCAGAGACAGAGACAGAGGCAGAGACAGAGACAGAGGCAGAGACAGAGACAGAGACAGAGACAGAGACAGAGACAGAGACAGAGGCAGAGACAGAGACAGAGACAGAGGCAGAGACAGAGACAGAGGCAGAGCAGACAGAGACAGAGACAGAGACAGAGACAGAGACAGAGGCAGAGACAGAGACAGAGGCAGAGACAGAGAAACACAGGGACAGAGAGACAGAGACAGAGGCAGAGGCAGAGACAGAGACAGAGGCAGAGACAGAGACACAGGGACAGAGAAGACAGAGACAGAGACAGAGACAGAGACAGAGACAGAGGACAGAGACAGAGACAGAGACACAGAGGACAGAGACAGAGACAGAGGCAGAGACAGAGGCAGAGACAGAGGCAGAGACAGAGACAGAGACAGAGGACAGAGACAGAGACAGAGACAGAGGACAGAGACAGAGACAGAGGACAGAGACAGAGGACAGAGACAGAGGCAGAGACAGAGACAGAGACAGAGACACAGGGACAGAGACAGAGACAGAGGCAGAGACAGAGACACAGGGACAGACACAGAGACAGAGGCAGAGGCAGAGACAGAGACAGAGAGGCAGAGACAGAGACAGAGACAGAGGCAGAGACAGAGACAGAGACAGAGACACAGGGACAGAGACAGATACAGAGACACAGGGACAGAGACAGAGACAGGGACAGAGACAGAGAGACAGAGGCAGAGACAGAGACAGAGACAGAGACAGAGGCAGAGACAGAGACAGAGACAGAGACAGAGGCAGAGGCAGAGACAGAGACACAGGGACAGAGACAGAGACACAGGGACAGAGGCAGAGACAGAGGCAGAGACAGAGACAGAGACAGAGACAGAGACACAGGGACAGAGACAGAGACAGAGGCAGAGACAGAGACACAGGGACAGACACAGAGACAGAGGCAGAGGCAGAGACAGAGACAGAGGCAGAGGCAGAGACAGTACAGAGACAGAGACACAGGGACAGAGACAGAGACAGAGACAGAGACAGAGACAGAGACAGAGACAGAGACAGAGACAGAGGCAGAGACAGAGACAGAGACAGAGGCAGAGACAGAGACAGAGGCAGAGACAGAGACACAGGGACAGAGACAGAGACACAGGGACAGAGGCGGAGACAGAGGCAGAGACAGAGACAGAGGCAGAGACAGAGGCAGAGACAGAGACAGAGACAGAGACAGAGACAGAGACAGAGGCAGAGAGACAGAGGCAGAGACAGAGACACAGGGACAGAGACAGAGACACAGGGACAGAGGCGGAGACAGAGGCAGAGACAGAGACAGAGGAGGCAGAGGCAGAGGCAGAGACAGAGACAGAGACAGAGACAGAGACAGAGACAGAGACAGAGGCAGAGGCAGAGACAGAGGCAGAGGCAGAGGCAGAGGCAGAGACAGAGACAGAGACAGAGGCAGAGGCAGAGACAGAGACAGAGGCAGAGACAGAAACAGAGACAGAGGCAGAGGCAGACACAGAGACAGAGGCAGAGACAGAGACACAGAGACAGAGACAGAGACAGAGGCAGAGACAGAGACACAGGGACAGAGACAGAGACAGAGGCAGAGGCAGAGACAGAGACAGAGACAGAGACACAGGGACAGAGACACAGGGACAGAGACAGAGACAGAGACAGAGACACATGGACAGAGACAGAGACAGAGACACAGGGACAGAGACAGAGACAGAGGCAGAGACAGAGACAGAGACAGAGACAGAGACAGAGACAGAGACAGAGACAGAGACAGAGACAGAGACAGAGACAGAGACAGAGACAGAGACAGAGGCAGAGACAGAGGCAGAGACAGAGGCAGAGACAGAGACAGAGACAGAGACAGAGACAGAGACAGAGGCAGAGACAGAGACAGAGACAGAGACAGAGACAGAGGCAGAGACAGAGACAGAGGCAGAGACAGAGACAGAGGACAGAGACAGAGACAGAGGCAGAGACAGAGACAGAGACAGAGACAGAGACAGAGGCAGAGGCAGAGACAGAGACAGAGGCAGAGGCAGAGACAGAGACACAGGGACAGAGACAGAGACACAGGGACAGAGGCAGAGACAGAGGCAGAGACAGAGACAGAGACAGAGGCAGAGACAGAGACAGAGGCAGAGACAGAGGCAGAGGCAGAGACAGAGACAGAGACAGAGGCAGAGACAGAGACAGAGACAGAGACAGAGACAGAGGCAGAGACAGAGACAGAGGCAGAGACAGAGACAGAGACAGAGGCAGAGACAGAGGCAGAGACAGAGACAGAGGCAGAGACAGAGACAGAGGCAGAGACAGAGACAGAGACAGAGGCAGAGACAGAGACAGAGACAGAGACAGAGACAGAGACAGAGGCAGAGGCAGAGACAGAGACAGAGACAGAGACAGAGACAGAGACAGAGACAGAGGCAGAGACAGAGACAGAGGCAGAGACAGAGACAGAGACAGAGGCAGAGACAGAGACAGAGACAGAGGCAGAGACAGAGACAGAGACAGAGGCAGAGACAGAGACAGAGACAGAGACAGAGACAGAGACAGAGGCAGAGACAGAGACAGAGACAGAGGCAGAGACAGAGACAGAGACAGAGGCAGAGACAGAGACAGAGACAGAGACAGAGGACAGAGACAGAGACAGAGACAGAGACAGAGACAGAGACAGAGACAGAGGCAGAGACAGAGACAGAGACAGAGGACAGAGACAGAGACAGAGACAGAGGCAGAGACAGAGACAGAGGACAGAGACAGAGACAGAGGCAGAGACAGAGACAGAGACAGAGGCAGAGACAGAGACAGAGGCAGAGACAGAGACAGAGGCAGAGACAGAGACAGAGACAGAGACAGAGACAGAGGCAGAGACAGAGACAGAGACAGAGACAGAGACAGAGACAGAGGCAGAGACAGAGACAGAGACAGAGACAGAGACAGAGACAGAGACAGAGGACAGAGACAGAGACAGAGACAGAGACAGAGACAGAGGCAGAGACAGAGACAGAGACAGAGACAGAGACAGAGACAGAGACAGAGGCAGAGACAGAGGCAGAGACAGAGACAGAGACAGAGACAGAGACAGAGGACAGAGACAGAGACAGAGACAGAGACAGAGGCAGAGACAGAGACAGAGACAGAGGCAGAGACAGAGACAGAGGCAGAGACAGAGACAGAGACAGAGGCAGAGGCAGAGACAGAGACAGAGACACAGGGACAGAGACAGAGACAGAGGACAGAG